TAGTTAGTTAGTTAGTTAGTTAGTTAGTGGGTTAGTCCAGGTCTTGTACTGAATAGCAACCCAGGCTTTAACTCTACCTCCTTCCCTTTGGTGTCGCCGTTCTCGATCCACTCCACCGTCACACTGTCGTTGTCTTCGTGCAGCGAGGTGACCATGGCCTGGTGGATCCGTCCTGCAGGCGGGACGGAGAGGGATGTGAGGCCCTCTCAGAGCAGCTGGAGCCTTAAATCAGGAGCAAACGCCAACCCAGCCAACCCAGAGACTAAAAGAAACTTAATCTCATACTGAGAGTGTTACGCCTCTGAGAAGAGATCTGACTGTGAGGAGATTTAGTGAAAATAAAATAAAGATGGACAGATGCTAATGGGTGTGGCTGATGGGGGATAAGACCTGCCCATGTGCACAGTTTAAAGGGCTTAGTGTGCTCCTGGCAACCGGCAAAAAAACAGCAGAGCAAAGCAAGAAAACTGGAGCAGAATGCAGAATTTTTTTAACATTTTTTTAATAGCAATAAATAAATAGATAGATAAAAAGGCAGGGGGATAAAAAGAGAGAGGAGGGGCGTCAACCCACAGACGACACCCCGGTGCCAGATAGTGGGTTACCGGCCGTCTAAACCGGCAAACCCCCCCGGTATGGGTTTTTTTTTAAACACTTTATCCTCGTAAAAGTGCAGAGGATGGCGTAGCTAGCTAGCTAGCCCGCGCGCCCTGCTAGCTGCTCTCATCCGGATGGAGAGAGCCGCGCGCGTGCGTGTGTGTGCGGGGCCGGGCTGCCAACGTACCGTCGCTCCGCTTTATCTCCACGTAAATACCCACGAAGATCTTCCCGAAAACGCCGGCCATCGCTCCGGTAGCCGTGGTCCCGTCCCGGTTGAGCGCTGCGGCGGCTCCGAGGTCACTAACGGTCACTAACGGGAGGCAGGAGGAGAGGAGACGCTGCGCATGCGCGAACTGTCTCGCCACGGATGAGGCTGAGAAGCATCTTCTGCCACATCTTACCCCCCCATAGACATATATACATATACATCTATATATGTATATATGTACATATACATATGTTCATGTTACCCCCATAGACATATATACATCTATATATGTATATATGTACATATACATATGTCTATGTTACCCCCATAGACATATATACATCTATATATGTATATATGTACATATACATATGTCTATGTTACCCCCATAGATATATATATACAAACATATATTTATATATGTACATGTATACATATATGTATAAATGTATACATGTATACATGGTGCCACCGAACCATTTGGGGTTTGGTTATATATATATGTACATATATACATATACATATGTCTATGTAACCCCCTGATTATCATCCGTCTCTGATCTACAAACCTCAGTTTCTAAAAAGCTGAGATGTTGCATAAAACCTACAAAAATACAAACCCTTTTCACTTATATGCAAATGATTATACTACAAAGACACCATGATTAGTGTTCAAAGTAATGAAAATTGGGTAAGTGAGTAAAGACAAGAGGAGCATTTTCAGGTTTAAGACACACATTCAAGGCATTATTTTGGTCATTAGCTGGTGTATCTCTTCTCTTCAGGTATCTTGGGCTGCTGTTTTGGTGTTTGTTGTCCTCCTTTCCTGTCCTCTCGAACCACACCTGGTCAAGGCCGATGGCCACCCTCCCCGAGCAGTTCGGTTACAGTTTTCTTCCTGTTAGAAGAGAGTTTTTTTCTTTCCACAGTCACCTCCTGCACGCTCAGGATGGGGAGATCATATCAAAGAGAATATTGGTTGAAAACTTCTGGTTTCCCTTGCTTGGATCTAATCATTTACTGGTTCTGTATGAATTGGACTAAATTATAATGTAATGAACACGAATTGATTGGATTATGTTTGGATTACAATGAAGTGGACTCCAATTGTCTTGATTTGGACTGTCATTTCTGAAGTGCCCAGAGAGTTGTTGTGATTTGGCGCTAAATAAACATAAAAGTTAAAAGAACAAAAACATGCTTATTAAAGAAAGGGTCAGATGTCAAATTTGATTAAAAACATGCTCCAGTCTCTTCACTCCCATCATGGAGAGAGAGACTAAATCAGGAGGGGATGAGAAAACTATGAGAACATTAGGAACTGAGTATTCAGTGAACAGGAGATGGCAGCAAAGATCTTTAAGAGAACTTGCAAATCCCCTGAATCATGTTCTGTGAGAAGCATCAGGGTCCTGTTTAATACTACTATTTCTTTTGAATAAATCACAATTTTTTTGTTTGTTTTTCTAGAATAACGATGCCTTTATTTTTACAAATTATTTAAATCGTAAAGGAAGAAGTACATTCTTAAATTAAAGCATCCTCATCAATTAATCTGTTTCTAATAATCCGCATTTCTGCTTCCTTTGTGGCAGCAATTAATCCCTGTCACATAGGAGATTGTCTTTGATATGAATGCCTCTTTCTCTGAGGCGTTAGGGTAACACAATTTCTTTTAGCCCTCCGTTCCCAAAGCAAGATTTAGGAAAGGATTACTCCCACCAGCCTTTGATAACACAAATTACAGTTAATGAATAAAGATGTTAGAGGGTTAGAGTGGGTTAAGAAGTCATTGAAACCTGGAAGGATAGCAGTGAACCATTATCTGAATAAGAAATTAGTTAAAGGAAAAACAAGTGACAGCAACTGGAGATCATTTAAATGTTTAAATGAAACCAAATTACAGAAAATGAGCAATAGACATCGCAGCAACGGCCAAAAGCGTTTTCACCCACACTTTGGGAGCTAAACAGCTGTATCACTTTGGGAAAAAAACATTTAGGAATTACGCTAAAAGTAATGGAGTCGTAAAGACTGGACTCTGTGTTGTGTGGCCTGTTTGAGTATTTACCAGCATAATGGTGTTAGGATTTATGGGGCCCACGTCCACAGAGAGTGGCCCAGAGTCCAGACCTGAACCCCCATCTAGAGTCTTTGAGATGATCTGGAGACAACAGGAAAGTTAAAGCTTTCAGATTGTCTGCATGAATTTTGGTGAATCGTCTTTGTAAAAGTGCTTAAGCCAAAACAAACACTTCCACTGGTGTTTTTGTGTCTAAGCTAAAGGCTTCTGGAAAAATCTGTGGCCCTCGTTGTCCAGCTGTTGCAGCAGCTGCCTCTGAGCGTGTTTTCCAGGCCAGTTTGGGAAATCCTCTGGCTTCCTTTGATTGGAAATGTGTGCGTTACAGCCTGATTGAGACACTTTTGCTCAGTGAGGAGGCTCCCCTGCCTCATTCCTTCCATCTCCTGTCATTTAGCGTCAGGGGTGACTGAGTCACTTCTACAGAGTGTTGGAGCGTTAGATCACGCCTGGACTTATTCTACTCAAACTCATTATTCTGTTTACTCCGAATAGGAAAAACTTGGTGGGATAAAGTGGGACTTGATCGCCCTGAGATTCGGAGTCTGAGCCAAACATCTGGCTCTCTGAGCTGCTGCTCCCCTCGTGTGACAGCCACCAAGTCCACCAAGACGACTCAGGAATTATTCGCATCCCCCCTTTTTTTTTTTCAGCCTGTCATTAGCAGCCCACCGGCGTGTCCCCTTCGCTGCCCGTCGGTCCGTGGGCTCCCCGAGGCGTCTGTCATCCCCAAAGCCTCCGCCGTCAGACTTGAGTGCTTTCTTCTCTCTTTGCTTTGCTTTCCGGAGGATTCCCGGACGCGTCCGGCTGCTGTTTGTGTCATATGTGTGTGTGTGTGTGTGAGTGAAAACACCAGGAAATGAGGCCGGACCGCTCAGTTGTGGCTCTAGAAAAAGGGAGGCGACTCCTCATTTGGGCCCAGTCTGGCAGCCATGTGAGCGTAGCGATTTCCTGAGCTTAATTCGCATGATTTTACATACCAATGTTGCGTGTAGCTGGGCTCCTGCGAGCAAGAGATCTGTTTTGCAATCATGGATAATTCATGACACTTCAAATGGAAATCCTTTGAAGGCTGTCGGGGACTGGGGATATTCCCCCTCTCCTTTCCTCCTTTGCTGTCACTTCAAGAACGGTAGCTCGGGAGCTGGTGAAGACGCTACCCGCCGTTTGTGTCGAGACTCGTGTCGCCGTGTTTTGCTGCTAACGCGCGACGACACCAGACACATTGACGGCTCCACACAGCTCTTATTTAGTGGGCGGAATAAAAGTCACCAAAAAAAAAAAAACGGACCAGTTCCGAGTTACGTTTGGTAAAAGGTGGATAAAAACCAGAACTTTCCAAACTCAAGAGCCAAAATTTTAGTAAGATAAGATAAGATAAGATAAGATAAGATAAGATAAGATAAGATAAGATAAGATAAGAGCTTTATTGATCTCACAGTGGAGAAAATTCACTGGTCACACATCGGTTAGAGTTCAAAAGGAGGAAAAGGTGCATAAAGTACAGCAAAAACAAACAAATATACAAGGAAGCAACACAGCGCAGAGATTTGAGTGACTAAAATATATACAATCATTGATGGTAGTAACGCAACAAAGAAAACCTGTAAAATGGGGAGAAACATCAACCTATTTTGAATTTGTTTAGCCGTTTTTTCCCTGAAATGAAAAGGAAAATGTCATGAGTGGGGACCTGTCCGAGGTCAGCTGGGTTAACCTCCCGCCTAGCACCACCCCCCCGGAAACAAGCAGGCAGGTACAGAAAACGGATGGAAGGATGCTTTAATGGCACAACCCGGCCGCTCGCTTTCGAATCCCACTTTGATCCAGATCAGATCGGAATCTTACGATTGGTTTGTTTACACCGAGCGTGTTTTATTCCACCTCAATCCCAGCGTGTGTGTGTGTGTGTGTGTGTGTGTGTGTGTGTGTGTGTGTGTGTGGATTCGGGCCTTTAGATGAATCGTGGAGCTCTGTCTGTCTGTCTGTCCCCGGCCCGGCGATGACCCTCGGAGGCACACGTCGCCGCGGCGACCGCTAATTAAAATTCACTGTCAAAATGTGAAGGTCTGAGCTGAAGGGCCGGGCCCGAGAGGACGACGGGGGCAATTGAATTACCTTCCATTTTGCTGATTTCATTTCCATGCTGGAGGCCGCTATGGCTTCGGCGGGTAATGGTTTCTGGCAACGACGGGGCCCTTAGTCCTGCTCAGTGGAGCTGCAAAATCCCCCCCGGGGGTTCATTGGCAGTCAGAGTTATCGTTTCAGCCTCTCCTGATGTCGTTTAACGAAGAAAAAAAAAAGTTACGCTCGTCGTTAACCTCGGCACTGTTCTCTTACGCGTGGACGTTTGGGCCGTTGTGCGTCCACTCAGCTAAACGACGGCGTGGGTTAGCTGAATGTGAAACGGGGGGTAATTTGGGATTCATATATGGGAGCTGCGCCCCCCCCCCCAAAAAAAAATAAACAGAATAGGCTGCAGCACATTACCGGGACTGTCAGGGAGAGAGGCTCAGACCTTTAATTGGAGGGTACGAAACCGAGGAGGAGGAGGGGGAGGATTCTGCTGCAGTTTCGGGGGGGTGGGGGGGGGGGGGGGTCCCCGGGGGGGGGGGGCGGGTTTGGAGTGGGGGGGGGGGGGGTGTGGGCCCCTTCTCCCCCCCCCCCCCCCCAGTCTGTCATCTTTCAGGCTGTTTCTCTGCCGCCATGTTTGCTCATTATGTTTTCATGGGCTGATTCTAGACGCCTGAATCAAATCTTTGGACCCAGGAGAGCGGGACTCCGGGGGAATAGGAATGAGGCAGAGAGGCCCGTGTATTCTCAGGTCGCCTGTCGACACAGATTGATGCGGCTGATGTCAAAAACGCTCCTCTGACAAGTTAAGAATACATTACAGGGATCCTTTGATTGACAAGTCACACAGAGTTTCATAACAGAAATATTCTCCTCCCCCTCCCGCCGCCTTACTTAGTATGCTCAAATGGGAAGAAAAATTAGCTTGAGCCAATTAAGGAGACGTTATATTCCTTCATGCTCACTCACCCACGTTAAATGCTCCTTTCTCTGGACTGGACTGAGCTCCCCTGCTGCTGCTTTTAGGTCAAATTATGTCACACAAATGACAAAGAAGAAATCAGCAGAACGAAATGGAGCGCAGCGGACGTTTTACATTCTGATACCATAAGTATGTAAATGTCATTACTTAGTTGATTGTTGGGTAACATGCAGTGATCCGTTTGATTGTTTACCCAGTTACCTATTCATCCATTCTTTTCAGCCTTTTAAAGCAAAGGACATCTTTGCATTTTTTACAATACTCAATAATCTTAATAAGTTGTCAGAAAAATGATAACTTAGTGTCTTTTCTTTAGGCATATAACTTACAGTGACCTTTGACTTTCTACTAATAGTTGATAAGACTCAGTATACTGAGTTAAAAAAGAATAAGCAGGTTGTTCAAAAGGTTAAAATTCTATATTAAATCAATTATATTTATTTATTTCTATTTAATACTTAAAAGCTTCAAGTTTACCAACAGATTTTAAACATTTCCCACAATTGGAAACTGTCTTCACCAACTTCAAGGGATTTTTGTCTCCAAACGTTTGTCTCCAACTCTATCAAAATATTAGGTAATTAAGCAGTATTTAAGTAGTCCTAAATTTATTAAAAATCATTACCCCAATCCCCAAGAATGAATCTTTTATTGATTGAACGCTTCTATTTACTTAGTAAAGAAGATACATACATTTTCACTTATATAGAATACAAAAAAAATCTTATTAGCACGAAGGATAAAATATCTTCCAGAATCAAAGTTTCTCAAAAGGTTAATAAACAACTGGTATCACAAAGCAGGATGGCCTTGTTGAACAGTTTCCGTCGGTCCACAGATGGTTGAATGGATTGAGAAGTGGAAAATCTTTATCCTAAATCAACCCCTTGCATCAGGGAATATGGTTTCCATTAAAAGCAGAACATCGATTAAGCATTTAAAAAAAAACTCCACTTAGTTGGTCTTCCACAAGTCAGTATCCTCATGATCGTTACTCTACAAACCAGTTGGACTCACCTGTGCTTTGTTACTCCCTAATTTCCTGTGGCCTCGTGCACATCAGTGATTATTAGCGAGCCTTTAATAATCATTTGGGATTATTAAAGTATTTCTGATTCTGATCGTGTTTTGGTTCAGGCCTTTTCCTGGTTAGGAGCACTTGAGATGATGTCATCCAACTATCACAATTTGTCCATCCATCCATCCATCCATCCATCCATCCATCCATCCATCCATCCATCCATCCAAATTGAGACTCTTTCTGTGTAAAGTTATTCCATGTTTTTATTTCAAATCATTGACATAAATCTGTTAACTGTGCTAAATGACTGGATAGGTTTGGTTACAGTTTCATGTCTATTTCATCTGACATTAAACAGACAAACTGAACAATGAACCAAAGCCATATAGCTCATTTTTAGCTTTCAAAGTATTTAAAGGAACAAAAAAACATGGCCAAAGTAAAGCTGGTATTTATATAGAAGAGGGAGGCAGTTTTGATTTATGTAATGTAAGATATGCTACTTTAAACTAAACTGACTGGATTTTGTCTTGAAAAAAGTGTCAGTCCTCCTATTTATTTACTTTTTATTTATACTGATACAAAAGGGACTTGGCTAAGAAATCCAATTTTTATCAGCTCAAAATTTTTTGGGTGATGAAAAAAGTCTGCTCCGGCTTAAAAGCAAAGCACACTGATTAGCCTTTAGCTTTAGTTTGAGATTTTATTTATAAGGAGCCCTCTGACTGCCGTCTTCTGCAGGTGGGACACCGGCTTCTCATGAATACTTCACATAAAAGAGTAACTTTCAGGGTTTAAGTGTCAAACAGCAGTGGATAATTGACTCCCCTGTGATGGATTTTCCTATAAACCTACAGATCTGGTTTAAGTTCTCTAATGAGATGCATTAGACTCGAGTGGCACAAGAAATCCAATACTCCCAGCAAACCCCTTCTCCACCCGTCCACCGCCACTCAGACGGTGACCCGGGCTAAATTTAGCGGAGCCTTTTGTCTCTGGCAGCCATGAAACCTTATCGTTATTACTTCTGCGACTTGTCAACACGTCGAGAATTGATGTCTTGTGAGATGATGTTTGTGCCGTCTTTAACATGATTCCATCGATTTCTTCTCTGCCAACCCGTCCCGTGTCTCCAGCTGGCGGGGCCCCCTTTCTCTCCTTTTTAGCACCCCTTGTCACTTATCCCGCCATGGCGAGATGATAAAGCCGTTATCTGGCTCCATTCAAGAGCTGTCACGGGCCGCCGCAGAGCGGGCAACAATTAATTTTCTCCAGTGACAACGCTTCATCCGCCGCCCTGAATTGAGATTAAATTTCTTTGTCAGCTTTTATATGAAAATGTGTATTTCACGGGCGGGTGTGAGCGGCTCGGTTTGCGCTCATAGCTGTGCTTACAATCAATTTGATTCCCCTCAGCGGGGCCCCAGAGCTGTCAGCCGGAGAGTCGGCGGGATGCCGGGGACGGGGACAAACGGCCGCAGATGACAGATGAAAGATGGCGCGCTGTTAGCAGAGGGGAGGGTACCGTCATAAAAGGAGATAAAGTAATCATGTGCATGTAAATGGATGTTTTTCGGTTATACTGTTTGAAGGAGCCCTTTTATTTTTTACAGGTTGGCACTTTTTTTTCCGGGCTCCTAATAAAATACCTGACATGCTTGGGTCAAAATAT